GTAGTTCAGTATACCAATCACAGCTATAAAACCAGTAACGGGTAAAGGCTAATGGGATAAGTTAATGAGTAGTACTTCTTCGAACTTAAATTGACAACGGTCATTGAGTTACCGCGTCTACTTAATAAAATCTATGGTAATGACAATTAACTTTGGTCGTAAATTAGATCTTTTGTATTTACGAAATCACTTATAAGTATGAAAGATATCTACTTAATTCTGGGGTGATGGTGTGCTGGGCTTACGTTAATTTGGTATTTCGAAAAAAGGAAACATTACTATCCGGAATAAGATAGATAGCAAATAATTACTAATTGAGTTTTTTTGAGATAAATTTTGAATTTAGATTTCCAAGCTTACGAATGCTTTGTGTTTCAATACGAAATCTTGTGTTTAGTTGTTCACAATAATACGTATGTAATATGTATGTTATCGATTTTGCATTATTTAAATTGCATATAATATGATGAGATCGGCGTCGTAGATAGGCCACCGAAGGTACAATACTGATTTAATAATATTTAGTGTAGGTATTTCTTATTTTATTATGCTGTCTTGTATAGTAGTAATGTTATTATAAATATTTGTAATTTGATATATTTATTATATACATTTATTATATTATTATTATACACATATATTTTTATACATCTTTTGTTTGAAATTTGTATCCATTAACCATATCTATCATATTACTAGATTATTTGGAATTGATACTTTGCTATTTATAAGTAATGTAGCCATTTTTGTTAAATTTAAATTTTAAATTCTACATTATTCATAAAATTTGTATCAATCATGTAGGATATAATAAATGATTTGAAAAAAAAATAAGTCAATGTTCCTGGAATTGTGAAAGTAAATTAAGTAAATATTTAAAATTAATTTTAATATTTGATAATAACAAAATATTTTAAAAAGTATTTAGATACCTATCAAAAAAAAAAAAATAAAATAAAATAACAATAATAATAATAATAATAATAATTATGTACTTAAAATCATTAAGCCTAAATTATACTCGAAATTCGTATAATATTCTAGCATTTTTTATATACTTATGCAATTTAATCTATATGAGTAAATACCTTTAATGTTACTAGAATTATGAGTATGTATTAAATATTATTCAGTGGTCTAGCGTAGGTGCCGCTGACCTGAAAATTTTTCTTTAACATTTATAACAAAATAAAAACCTCCAAAGTTTTTGAAAACTATTAATATTCCATAACATTATTTATAGTATAGAAGTATAATATATTATATATATATATATTAATATTTTATACTAAATAAACATTTTGAACGTCTAGTAATCTGAATGTCACGTTGATAATATTTTATTTTTGTCATTATTATTTACTTTATTAAAGATAATATAACAATAATAATTTATTAATAAAAATAGAGTATAACAGTTGGGATTTTAATTATATACAATATATACACATACATAATATAACTGTCCACTCTATAACCATTAATAATAATGGTATAATATACAGTGTAGTACTGTTGTATTACTGTGTCAGTAAACTATCACTAATAGCCCATAAAGGCAATCTTGCATAAAGTCTATAGGAATTGCAAGCGCCCTCCCACACATAATATTATAATGATGACAATAAAATCACAATCATTATTCGTACAGAGCGAAGCGTCATTAAAATTATGCTAAACACGATCGTGAAGTTTGCCCGGGTGTAAGGAATTAACACCTTCACAATACATATACCGTCATCTTCTATTGTAAATATCTAAAATTTACTGATTGTCGCTATTCTACACAGATACGCGACAATTATATTTTAATGTATAATAATATAATACTATAATGATACGGACGCGTGTAGATGTACATAAATAAAAACTCTAAAAGAACTTGATTAAAAATATTTACTTTACGGTATATTATTTATTGGATGGGTCGGAGTTTAATATAATAAATTCCAGAATAGAATAGATTCTAAATATTTTCTCGAGTGATCGAACTTTATTTTGATGTGATTGAATTCAATAAATCACTGCAGAAATACATTATATATTTTACTCCATTTTTAGTGAATATTATTTTTAGTACTATTTTTGGACTATAGTTATTTTTTCTACTCGTAATAGCTATGATATCGAATGTTTGCATGTCAACACCGACAACGTATAACTCGAATTATTAGAATGCTTGAAACAAAGTGTCATTTAATATTTTTGTATCTTCACTATATTTTAATTATTTTAAACACTGATTGTCGAATGATTCCAATGATTCCAATAATTTCGGACATCCAAAAACGGAAATCGAAATAAAAATGCAAAATATTCAGTCTTTATTAAATTCAAAACTGTTAAATTATGAAAGTTTCTACCTCAATGCTAAAGGCCTAGAATGATGTATTTTAGTGAGTTTTATTAAAACTATTACAACACTTCTATTTGAAACAGGTGTGCTGCACCCATTGATAATTCAGTAATTATTTTAAAATTAAGAAAATTACCATGATAGCACATTCTTTATAGTTTTTAAAATATATGATTGCATCTTTAACACAATTTTTAACTTTTGGGTGGTTACTAGTAATGATATCAAGTATTATGATCTTAAACAAAAAACGTGACTTCATATGTCATATTTTTGAAAAAAGTGTATACTTAGGCGTCATGCTTAAAGTTATCAGAAAAACGGGTTGATTTGTTGAAACAACGGTGGAACATTCTTGTAAGATACTGAACATCTGGCATCCTTAAATAAAATAATTTATTAATAAATAACTAATAATACATTTATGAAAACAGTGTTATTACTAGTGCTCGGATTTTGTAGCAAAATAAATTCTTAAAAAAGTATTTTAAGTACCCCAAAAAAAAAATATTTATTAAATTTAATTCTAAAACAACAAATTTAAATTACACATAAAATTAAATATTAAAAAAGGAATTTACGACCATATATTTGTTCAAGCTACTTTCATTAAAACTCATTCTATTGGATGCTAATAACGATTATAGAGAAATTATTTAGAATACTGAACCTCACTGATTAATATTTACCGGTCAACTAAAGTATTAGAATGTGGTATAAAAATACGCAGATATAATTCAGATAATTTTAAAACTATACAATTTCGGTACAATAACGACAGTTATTTTATCAGTCATCCATTTATTACTAGCTTTTTTACCGGTTTTATAATTTTTGGCAATAATAATATAGTATTTTTAGTTTATAACTTATTAATAAGTTAAATTTTCAAGAAAAATAAGTAAAAATTAAAAAAAAAAAAGAAGAAGCAAATAAGGCAAAAAGCAATAAAAAGCAAGTTTTGTGGAAAAATGCAACAAAAAAGTTTACTTTATTGAAATCAGAACGATTCAAAACGTATTTATATATAATAATTATCTTTCTATTACACTCTCCTCAAAAGAAGCATGTGTTACAAAATTCTAGCCCTATTTATTACCTATCCTATCGATTTACACACTGTATTGTACACAATAAGATATGGGGTATTATTCAAAATTGATTTTTTTTTTCAAATTACTCCCCTCAACTTTCCTAAATTGGTTCCAACAATAAAGAAAATATGCACAACAATTAAGATAAAATAATTGACTTTATTCGTGATACAAAAGCTCTAAAGTTTTAATAATAGTTACTAGCAATAAAAACCGTTAGTTTTTTTCAATATAGGTACTTATAATCAAGTATAAACATTAAAAAAAAAAATATATATGATTTTATTTTAGAATGCTACAATCTATTCAGGTGTGCAATAAGTAATAATTATGGTAAAAATAAAAAAAAAAACTAAAAACTAATGATAACATGGTAGGAAATCTCACATTAGAGACACCTAGTGGCTTTACATTAATAATTACAATTTATAAAATGTTTAAGTCTCGGCACCAGTTCCGTGTTGGATTTCCGGGTAGTGCTGGTATGGAAAATTCCTTGATGAGCTGATTGGGGTCGGATTGTAGTTTTGCGTGGAAGCGTTTGTAGTATATAATAGCAATTTTTTTGACATAGCAGATTTTTAGGTCAGAGTTTATTACATTGTTGAAGATATACCAGGGTGTTCCAGTAATTATACGACAGCAGATATTTTGGAAGGCTCAAGTATAACAAAATTCTACAATGAAATTTTAGTTACATGAATTATCGGAAATAAAATTTAAAAACATTTTTGCTTATATATTTTATTTTTAAATATTACATTTTTTCATATATTTGAATATTAATACATCATTCATATTATATCTTTAATTAATATTGTAAATTAAAATAAATGTTTATAAGCTTAAAATTGATCATATACACTATTATAAATTTGAAAAATATGTATAGCATTATACATACTATAAGTATTTGTTTAAACAACCATTTTCCAAATACTTTGAGTTAATTATTTTTACTATTAAACTCTGCTTTGAAAAGTGTAATTTCGTCGAAATGTCCGTGAAAATAATGAGATTAGTATAGTAGTGGTTTTAAGAATTATTTCATTAATTAGTAGTCATTAAACTGCTGACTAATTTTTTTGTATATATTTCAACAATATTACAGTATTATATTAACGATTTCTTTGCCATCGTATACTTCAAAATATTCCAAAAAATAGTCAATAATTTTTATAATGATTTTTCATTCACACTATTAAGTTTGAGAAACGAAATAAACATTGCTGTAATATATCCCAATTACAGATCGGTTTGATATTTTACACGATACACGTTTAAACCTGATTGCATATTTCGATATGGTTTCATCAAGTTGTATTTCTAATTTCTATACAAAGGCAACTCACCGTTGCACAAATAAAATCTTAAATGTTTCAAGCAACTGATTTTTTAGTGCTGTTTAATGTTAGGATCGTCTCAAAATAATTATGTCCTCACAGGGATCTATATAAAAGTAACGTAAACATAAAATTTTTATTGAAATGTTCTCACCGTTCGCGTTGGTCCAAACGCATTTACGCACACGCATATGTAGAGCAGTGCTCCGACCCCCCCACCCCGATATCGAGGTTCGTATATTATTTTAAACTCTGAGTATTTTGATCGTCGTCCAAAACACCAATCTGCCGTTTGCTCATCATTTTGGACTATTCCCATTCGCATTGCCAGTACACGAAAAATAATTGACGCGGTGGTGTAAATCGCGCTGTTGTAATTTCTGCTAAATCGGCCGATAGGCATAGCCTTCTGTTTTGATGTCTTTGTGCAACATCGTAGCACTGCGTAAGTAAAACTGCGTTTTTGGGCCATTTATACGTGTCAGCTTCACTGGAGTATCTTACGTACTTACCTGAAAATACAGTTGAACAATTGTCTTGTTTTCTATTTTCACCCGTTCGATAAGCCTATTCATCTTTTGAATTTTACAGGTTGGGACAAAATGAGCAGCAACGGTGTGACCGAAGACGATGATTTCGGTGATGATCCGTTTCGTAAGTATAACGAAAATGCAATGTAACGCAGAGATAATATTACATTGTTGGGATAACATCGTATAATACTAAACTATATACCTACACCCCTCTTACTGCGAACTAATAAAGTTTGATATGGTCAGCTTTCAACCATTCCTAATTGGCTTTCCCTAACTTTGCTTTATGACCCTAACTGTTGGTCGGAGAGCTCTAAAACGCGTGGAACTTTAACTGAAGCGTGCCAAAATCCATTAGAAATAAGAACAAAACATTTGCTGAAGTCAAAAAAGAATTCAAACAGTTAAAATGATTTTATTATTCTATTAAATTGAACATAATATCCATTAATGTATTACTAAATGACGTATAACTTATATAACTACAACTAATATAAAGAATTTTGTTAAACATTTAAAATTATGACATTATGTCGTACATAAATGTGAATGAGTTTAAATATTTAATAATTGTAAATTTTTGTATTGTTTTTTAGTATTAAATATTATTAATTAATGTAACTTATGTTATAGTAATTTGAAATAATTAAGGTCGTATTCAGATTTTAGATTTGTTATTATTAGATGCTAACTGATTGATTATGCAATGATAGGTTATACTTATATAATAAAAAATACACATACGAATACTATTGAAAAAAAAAATTTAGCTTGATAATAATATAACACAAAAGTAAATTTCTTATTGCAATATATTTAAATGTATAATAAAATGGTCTTATAGGCTGACAGACTAACTCCGCTTAGAATCGCTTTTCGAATGTAATAATTTATCATTAAATTCAAATTTAATACATGCGACTTATTCAATGAATATAAGCAGGGAAGTGACTTTTTTGTTTTTTTTCTTTACGACGTTTTATTTTTGAAGACTATTTATCTCAACAATAAACTATAAAATACAAAATATAATCATTATAATTATCAATATTATTAATATATGTAAAAATACGATCATAAATAAATATTAAAGTTTAGTAGATCAATTTACAGATCGTATTAATAATTATATTTCAATAAAGGCTTTATTATTATACATTTATTTATTTTTAAATGAAATAAAAACCCATGCAGGAAGTGAGATGTTATTACAAATTTTAAGAAATACTATTGATATTTATTTTTTACTTTTAATAATTTTTTTCCTGAAGTATTCTTAAGCAATATATTTATTTCATCTTTCAAATCGTATAAATTCTTAAAATTTATCATTGTCTCACCTGGGTACTCTAAATTATGAAAATAAAATTGCTTTGAATGCTCGTCTTTGTTTGATCACGACATTTATCCAATAAACCAATAAATTAAATTAAATTACTCATATATACTTTTTAATTAAGCTGATATGGACTTGTGGTCATCAACTAATTCAATGCTGAAAAATTCAAACTTTTCAAAATAAAATCTTACACTCAATCACTTATGCCCGCCATATATGTCTAAATTTATTATGCATACAGGCTTAAGTATTAAAACAGTTCATGTAGAAATAATTACGTTCTATAAACGATTTTATATAATAAACTCACTTCCATTTCAATTTCCTTGTATATTAAACTTAGTCTCTCGCACAATGTCTGGGAATCTTTTTCGATGACTAAAAATGAACTAGTGTAGTGATATTTTTAATAAATAAAAAATTTTAAAAAAATCAGAGAGCAGTACTTTTTGTGTAACTTCTTCATCAATATTTTTTAAGTAAAAATATCTTTTATCATAAATAATTTAGGGTATAGATCGCATATTTGTATATATATTTTTTTTAATAATAATACATTTTTTTTATTTAAATAGTTTAAACTATTTATTTGGTTTTGACATTTTACTTTAATTAGATTTAGTAAAAATTCATTGTTGTTATTTATGTATGACAATTTGATCTCATTATTTGAATAATTCTATTTAATAATATTTGGTGTTAAATTACATTTTGTTATGACTCCATTAAATGAATACATGAATCATTTTTCAAACAAATATACTTGTATTGGAACATGTTGTAATTTTTTATAGATAGAAATAGTAATTTTCATACTTAAACATATCAATCTAAAATAGCTTTTATGTGTTTTAAGGTCACTGTCAATACATTCATATTTCCTTTATATTATTATTAATTATGTTTATAGCATAACTAACTAATTTTCCGGCAAAAACTAATTTTAAGTTTAAATTACTGTGAACATACTAACTCAGAACATTTGGATGATTTTGTAAGTTATATTTAATTAACATTCTGGTGAAAATTTAGTATTTTATATACAATTCAAATACTATTTGACTATTAATTAATTTAAATATAAGTATAGACAGTATAGACATATTTTATAGTTTTACTTTATAAATAGATATTATTTATTTTTAAAAAGTTTATTGGATACTATAAATTATTTAATTATTCTTACTTATAATTTTATAAAGAATATTTTCGATTAAATATTTAAAAAGAATTTTTTTATCTTTTCTTTCTTTTTCTTTAGTATATTTTTCATTATAAACTTAAATGATATCTTTTTTATTATTTTTTTCATATTACATGGTTTAATACAAACAATGTCTTAAACATAGACAAACAAAAAATTAATTTAAAATAACGTTGTTAAAATTTTTACATATATGTTTTTGTTTTTATAAATTTAAAATATATCTGTTCAAGTATTAATTGACTAGCATATGAATTGATAAATATTTAATTAATAATACAATTAACATAGCACCACCTTTTAGTAAACTATATAATAACTGCTAAAAATTTTAAGGTTTTGTTATAAAATAATAAATAATTTTAAAAATATTTTCTTTGAGAAAATTTATTGTGATAAAAAATATAATGTTCTTAAAAAATCGTATTTCAGTAAAATAAATACATTATGGATTTTAGTATCTTTTCAAAACCGAAATATTTTTGTATGTTTTTTAAAATGTGTTATTACATGCAAATGAACTATTGAAAACTATACTGATAGCTTATAATCATATAATTTACTATAACAAAATAAATAATTAATTTTCGATTTTACTACAATATAAATAATAATGTTATAATATAAATTTATTCATGTTCATAAATTATAATAATGATTCCAGGTATAAATATTATATGAATTATTTTTATTTTTATTTTAAACTAAAAAAAAAGAACGAAAAGTAAAAAGTAATAATTTTTAATATTAATTATTGGTTTTGATTGTTTGAATTGACCACCAACAATAAGTTTTTCATTTATAACATTTGCTTTTAAAATAGCCGACTTCATAGTTTTGAGATTATAATTATTATTTGTTTATATTTTGAATTTACCTTAGAAGTTTTGAATTAATAAATAATAAGTGTATTCGTTTAGTTATATTGTAATGAGTATTTAGTGTATGTATGAACAATTTTGATTCTATTGCACAATAACATTATTAAAATGTACTATTTATGTACGTTACTTCGTCTATTAACAATCTGAGTTTACCATATATTTTTGCTTGAATATTTAATTTTACTATAAATTATAAATGTGTAATTTGTGAAGAAATAAATTTAAAATTTAATTTGGAAGAAAGACAGGGTATAATTCGTCCACTCACTTCTATTGTTACCACGTCACACTATGCCATTATCCAATCGTTTTTGTGTTCACGTATATATTACTTTGATGAATTTGTTTTAATATAATTGTTAGTTAACGTTTACAAAAACAAATGATTTTTTAAAATCATTTTCGTTGCTTATTTTTTCGTTTGATTGTGTTGTATCCAAACTACAACGTCTGTTTGATGTGCGTCATCGCAATCAAACGATTTGTAAACGATAGACTAATTTGAAATATTGTCCTGATTCGACAATAAACTTTTATCAATAAGATTAACAAAGTGTATATTTAACGCAAACTAAAATTTAATTATTTAATAGAACATATACTCATGTACAGATTAAGTTACAGAGTCAATACTTGTTTGAAATAGTGCAGTATTTAAATCGTTTTTAGAGTTTTAGAGTTAATTTTTTTAACGCTAAAATTCTTTCAAAAAATATATTATAGAACGGATATTTAACGCTAAAAAATTGTCTGTTTATGCCTATACTCTATAAAACTGTAATTATTTGATTCTTAAAATATTAAAATATATTCGATATTTAAAATATTGTTAATAAGATGTCTACCATCTACCTATTATAATGGTATCCAAAAAAGAAAGAAAGAAAACACATCATTTAATATATCTACTATTACAGCAAGGTAAAATATTATACTGCCAATGCCAAAAAAAAAAAAAAAAATAAAATAAAATAATAAATAAAAGTGTAAAATCACGTCATACAACAATGACCAGGTTTTTCTCTCCATTTGGTACCACAGGAAAAAGTAAATAATAATGATAGCGAGACTGATAAAAAAACGTTGTCCATGAAAATATAATATACATAAATTATTCAACTTTTATTGGTGATAATAACTCGGGTAGAGGACAAATTTCAATACTCGTTGTAAATTGTATGGACGTATATAATATTGTAATATTATAATGTATATACAAACAAACGTACAAAACACATAATGTATGTCATTATTTACGCATTACGTTTTTTAACGGGTCAAATGGTATTTTTTCGTTGATTATTTTTTATGTTTAGTCAAATGTACTCACACTGTCATCTAGACCAAAATATCATAGAAATACGTATAAGTTTTGTCACGGGTCAATTTTTATGTTTTATTTTCTACTTTAGATTCAGTCCTTCAACGAGGACAAAAAATAGAACAACTACTTTAAACCTTAGGACTTAATATAGTTTAACGGAAATGTATATATAAACACCATTGTAGTGACAATAATGGTATAGTTTTTGTATTTATTATTATATTAGTTAAAACACGCCGTTTTAGCGGATCGATTGTCTCTACAATATTCCACACGATTTCTATGAATCTATTTGATAACATTTATTTACTGAAATTAATTAGTAATTTATAGTGCAAATTTAATTAGCCAAATAGATAGAAGAATAAAT